GTCAATGTTACGGAGATATAGGTCTGATCCCTCTCATATTGTTGCACCAGAACAAATATAAGTCCAATCTGATTTGACCTATAAAGAAGAACCAATGCGAATATTGACTTATTAAGTTAAACAGTTGAGGAATAAAACAGTTACATTAGTCAAAGTTTTATGGAGAAATCATATAGTAGATGAAACAACGTGGGAACGTGAAGAAGATATGCGAAATCAATACCCTCATCTCTTCGCGCCATAAAAATACAAGGATGAATTTTCTTAAGGGGAGATTTGTAACATCCCAAACATCGGGTTAGTGACTAAATTGTGAAATTTTAGAATTCAATGATTTAATTAGATAAATTGAAAAGTTTAGGGACTGAATTGAAATATTTATATAAGATGATTTAGTAAAGAAGAAGGAATAAAAGGGGCAAATGGGTCATTGAGCAAGAGAATAATTAAATATTTGTTGTGGTTATTTTATAATCCACGTGGGACATAATTGAGGAAAAACAAAAGTTTCCAGATAACTCTTCAACCTTCTTCTTCTCCAATCGTAAAGTCCCATAAACTAAGGTGAGTTGGCTTTTATTTGGTTAATTCTTGAAAGTTAGGTGTGATTTTGATTGATGAAGCATTAGGAAAGAGTATGAAAACAAAAAGAGGTATAGAAACCCAAAGAATGGTGAGTTATGGATGATTGAAGATATGAAGTGTTTAAGTGAAAATTTGAATAAGAATGTTTAAATGAATTTATAAGTTGGATTTGACTTGTCATAGGTTTAAATAAGAAGTAATAAGTGTTAGAATTAAGTTTGGATTATATGAAAAATTTAGTAAAATTCTTAGTTTCAAGAATTGGAATAAGACACTGAAGTTTGTAAGATATTAATATGATAAAAGATAGTTAAAGTGATTGTAGTTGAGTTTGGTGGTATGAAAGGAACTTAAAGGTGGAAATTAAGTAAAAGGATTGATAATTTTTGGGTAAAATAAGTCTGATCTGGGTAGGTGGTATCGGTACCCTATGAGTTGGTATCGATACTACACAACGATGATAGGCTATATTATTATGTAGGTATTGATACTGCATGAACAATATCGATACCACAAGACCAAGTTAGACACACATCTTCATGAAGTATTGATACCAAAAGGATAGTATCGATACCATAAGTATCGATACCAGAAGGCATGTATTGATACCTGGAAACATAGAATCTAATTTGGGTACCGATATCCAAGTATGGTATCGATACCATTATAAAGGAAATATCGGTACTGTACATTGGGGTACCGATACTACTTAATAGGAAAATGTAAATTATGTTCATTAAATAATTAAGTTATTAAGATTGAGCTTTAATGTTTAGAATTCTGACGATCGTCTTGGAAATCATATGTATGTAGATACCGAGCCTAAACGAGTTCCAGAACAAGTGACAAGTAAGATTGAGCGAGGGAAAGACAAAGAACTATAAGTGAGTGCATATTTGTAGAAATATTATATTATGTTATGGAATTTAGACTTGTGATAAGTCTAGTTTCAGCATAAGTAATACATGATTGCATTACATGATACGATACATTACATGAACTCCTATGATATGCATTATATGATAATGATCTATGTGAATATGTATGAGAAATTTACATAAGTAATGTGATAATAGGTAAGAAATGATATATCTATGAGATATATACTACGTGAAATGTAAAAGTCCATGTTATGTAGATGAGAGCTATATGTATAATTGACATGCCAAGAGTCGAGGGTCTACGTGGTCCTTCGGGACATATATGTATCCTTTGGAACATTTATGGGGTCCTTTGAGACATATATTTGGTCTTTGGAATACGTATATGGTTCTTAAGGAGATTTCTATGTGGTCATTATGGACATTTGATATGGCACTTTGGTGCATTTCTACGCGGCACTTCGGTGCAATTCTACATGGCACTTCGGTGCATTTATACGAGCTGTGGTGACAGCATTGTGCACAACCTCAATATACTCACATACCTTAGGTTCTCAGTATTGTATCATGGGCTAATGAAGTTATTAACAACAATTCATGATTGCTAATTTGATAAGCTTATGTGTGAACTGCATGGTTATGTAAGTTGCATTGAATAAATATATGATTGCATAATATTCAATTTCATTATAGTATTATTATTATTATATATTATTATTCTGCCTTACTAAGTCGATGACTTAGCGTGTGAGTGTTTCACACGTAGGATCCAAGAAGTTAGCTGAGCAAGGATAGACAGAGGAGATAACATCACTTTTGCAGATATCAGATCTGAAACAACTTAAACAGTAGTTTATTTTGTTATGTAAATCAATGTTGGCATGTAATCCAAGGTTTAAGTTGTATATGCTCTGATTATTTTGTGAACCTTGTATAAACTTATGTATAATATCTGATTTTCTTAATATAAGTTCAAATATTGTATTATTTTGTATAAGTAAATTGTTTTGAAAAGTTAATGTAACATCTCGGTCTCGTATCCAGGTCGGGTACGGGTTGGGGTGTTACACATATAATGTATAAATAAAACATTAAAACAGTTAATCATATACTTAACTTTTATAAACATCATAGGGTACAAAAACCATCATACATTTCACCAAACAAGAATATAAAGCATCATTCACTGTCAATTATGTTATTCTTTTAATAGCCAAATGTACATCATTGAGAACTTAAGGTATGTGAGTGCATTGAGGTTGTGCACTAATGCAGTCACCACTGCTTATATAAATTGCACCGAAGTCCCACGTAGAATATGCACTGAAGTGTCACGTAGAAATGTCCCGAAGGACTGCGTAGAAATATATCGAAAGACCACGCAGAATTGTCCCGAAGGACTGCGTAGAACCTCGACTCTTGGCATGCCAATTATACCTTTAGGTCTCATATAACATACTTTTGGGCTTTATCATTTATATCATTTCACATAGCTTATATCACATAGATAAATAATCACATAGGTCATGTCACATAGCTTATATCACATTATCATATAATCACGTAGTTCAATATCACATAGCTTGTATCGCATTTTCATATAATCACGTAGATCATATCACATAACATGAAATATAAACAATGCATGCTCACGTAGTAACACAATCAAAACTATGCTTATATTCATGTAAACATATAATCATATTATTTCATAAACTTTCAAACATTGTTTTTAATTAATTATCGAAAATATACTCATCGTAAGTCTTCTTTCCATAAGACAATATATATAGTAGTATGCACTCACCTTAGCCTCACTTAGTCAAAGCAAAACTCTTATCTCTCTCTTGGTCAATCTTATATCGTCGATTCGTCAAGAACTTGCTTTAGTTCGATATCTACACAAATATACAATCAATATGAATATCGGAATTCGAATCACTATTAATCAATCATCAATAACTTAAGCTAAAAGAAATACTTAATTCACAATTTCATTTTGAATAGTATCGGTACCCCAAGCCCAATACCGATACTTCCTCACTATGGTATCGATACTATACTTCAGTATCGATACTATACTTCAGTATCGATACCCATTCTACATTCTAGAATTTCATCTCTAAAAATGGTACCGATACTTGTCCATTAGTATTGATACCCTTGGTATCGATGCTACTCCTTCGGTATTGACACTCTTTTAAGACTTCAGACAACTTTACCTTATGGTATCGATACTGTTCTTCTAGTATCGATACACAAACCCAGATTTCATATATTTTTGCTTTGAAGTATTGGTACTGTTCATCCAATACCGATACCCTTGCCTAGAAATCACCTATTTCAATTCGAAAACTTACTAAAACTTACTTAAATCCTACTCTTTTAACTTATTTCAGGCCTTTAAACTCCAACATTCTTATTAAGACTAACTTATAACAATTTAACACACTTAAATATCCAAAATCCCACTTAATCACTTGAAACTAAAAATCATACCAAATAATCATCATGCCCCAAATCCATTTCTAACACTTTAGATATCTTATTCCAGCTTATGACAAATCAAATATGACTTCAAAATCCATTTAATAACTCTTTCTCAACAATTCACTCAAAAACCCTTTATATTCTATCATCCATAACTTGTAAATCTTTTAGTTTCTACTTCTCTTTAAGCTTTCTAAAGCTTTCCTAACACTCCAAGAATCAAAACCAATCATAAATTACAAGAAATAACAGACTTAAATATCCCTTACCTTAGTTGGAGTCACGGTGAAGAGGAGGAAGAAAGATGAAGATAATTCTAGATTTCCTTTTACTCATCTTTTCATTTCCACGTGGATATATAATACACAAATAATGAATTGTAAATTCATTTCCTTGACTAAAGACCTTTTTACCTTTTAAATTCAATTCTTTCTAATCAATCTTACAAAAATAATTTCCAATTAAATCCATGAACTTTTCAATTTATCAAAATTGATCACAAAGTTTCAAAATCTTACATTTTGGTCACTAGCCCGGTGTTTGGGATGTTACATCATTGACCACTATTGACTAACGATAGAGTGATATAATTGAATGTAAAACTAAAATTTAATGTTATAAATGACAAAATTGAAAGTTTAGTAGTGTAAATGAGTCGATGGACAAATTTTAGTGGAGTATGAAGTAGTTTTCCCTAAAACTTAATGGTGACTTTGAAGTATTATCATAATGTAACATCACATGATCATTGAAAAAATAAAAAATATCACGTCAGTAATTTTGTTTATCTTTTAAGGATGAATAACTAAAACATAGTTAAAATATATGTTAGTTATGATTTTGAAAAATATAGTTAAATTTTTAAAAAAATATAAAAATAAGTGGATGACTAAATATATAATTTACCCTTAAATTAACTGAGGACTCCTAAATAATAATGATAATAAAATAATAAGCCCTCGTTTCTATCCTTTCGTAAGCCGTAACGAGGAAAAATAAACAACATACGGTGTCGCCGGCGACAAACTCTGCGCCGTCATAACATTTTCATATTCCATCTTCCGACACCGCTGCCTTGGTCACCCAGTTAGAATACTATGTCTCCCTTCTCTCAATTTTAATTCTTAGGTTTGGATCGCTTACCTTGTATCTCCCTTTCATAATTACCCTAACTTTTATTTTTGCGATTTTGATTTGTTTTCCTTCTCTCAAATTTAAATTAATTATTTTTTTCAAAAGAAAAAAAAAGTGCGATCTATCTCTCATTTAGTTTCGATAATAATAAATGTTCTCACAATTTCTGTTGATGCAACGATATAGCGTCGGTTAAGCTCTCTCTCTCTCTCTCTCTCTCTCTCTCTCTCTCTCTCTCTCTGTGTTGTTAATTATCAGCTAAATTGTTAATTATCACTTTAGCCGAGCTTTTGATTTCTTTAGGATTTCGTATAAAGCTTTTGATGAATTTGGAGAAACGATGTCAAGCAATTCAGGAAAAAGAGCCCTTACAAATGGTTCCGTTTATGTTTGCAATTTACCAGAGGGAACTGATGAAACTATGTTAGCCGAATACTTCGGAACAATTGGCTTGCTAAAGGTATAATCTTCTAATTTGAGAACATAACATATGCAAATGTGTTTTTAGTTGATTATTGTTTTTCTTTTTTTATGATTTTCTAGAAAGATAAGCGAACTGGTCGACCTAAGATATGGTTGTACCGAGATAAGGTAACAAATGAGCCGAAAGGGGATGCTACGGTTACTTATGAGGATCCATATGCTGCATTGGCTGCTGTTGAGTGGTTCAACAACAAGGATTTTCATGGGAATATGATTGGTGTTTTTATAGCAGAGAGTAAGAGTAGTAATGCTGTTGTAGATCCCTCAACTGTGGTGGGTGATGGTGGTGGATTGGAGGAAGATATGGCTAAGGATATGAATGGGGGTGGTGGAAGGGGTAGAGGTCGGGGTGATGCTTCAGGGAAAACATGGCAACAGGAGGGAGATTGGCTCTGTCCAAATACAAGGTCTGTGATATGATATTGGTGAGCAGCTACTTCTTGCTCTTTTTTAACATTTTATTTTGATTGCTATGTACATCATTCAAATTTTGTGGTTGCAGTTGCTCCAATGTCAATTTTGCCTTCCGTGGTGTGTGCAACTGCTGCGGAACTGCTCGACCTGCTGGTGCATCTGGTGGTGGTGGAGGGGCTGGTGGTCGTGGGAGGGGTCGTGCTGCCCCTGACTCTGGAAGTCATGGTCGAGGAGCAGGTGCCACGGGTGCACTTTTTGGCCCAAATGATTGGCCTTGTCCTATGTATGACTTCTAATGCTTAAGTGACTATTCTTCTAATCCTTGTGTGATATATTTCCAGCTCTCCTTCCTTGTTAATCTTTCACAATCCCGTTTATGATCGTTTGTTTTGTTATACAATTCATCCCAAGCCTGAAACTCCTGCTTTTGTAATGCCTTGCAACAATATAGCAAAGTTGGCTGATTTGTAGTCTATTGACTTCTGCTTTAGCTAGGTTCAATATTAGCATTTGAATAGGAATTTTGGATTTTACATGGAAACTCCAGGTTTGTTTATCCGTGCACGTCCCTTCCCAATATCTTTGTTTGGGTGCAGTAGTGGTTAGTTATCAGAGAATTTGAATAGGAATTTTGGATTTTACATGGAAACTCAAGGATTTGTATTACATCTCTCCCCTCTCTTGATACTATGGAGACCAGATTGGCTCAAACCTACACCTTCTCTCCCATACCACTTAAGCTAGGCTGAAATGGTAATTCTATTGGGACTATGCAGCTTGATTCTGTTGTTTTGACTGTTCAAATTATGCTCTAACCACTGGGAGTCGTATCTGTGGTGTCTTACACTTTGTAGCACTTCTAGTTTGGTTTAGTGTTTGGTATTTAGAAAAAAAGCTGTGCTTTTTTATATTCGAATGCAAAGCCATCTTATGCAGCGTGATTCACTTCAGTCTCAACTTTGTTTCACAGGTGTGGCAACATCAACTGGGCTAAGCGCACAAAATGTAATATATGCAACACAAATAAACCTGGTCACAATGAGGGTGGTGTGAGGTAAGTTATAAATATTTTGACATTTGCTAATCTTAAAGCAAATTAAAATCTTTGGGATATTTTCATCGAAAATATGATCTTTCATTTTTGTGCAGTTAATTTGCTTTCTACATTTTTTTTGTGGGTCTCTACGTTTCAGTCTTTTATGAGATAACCCTTGCAGTGATTTTGACCTTTAATTTTTGTACGAATGTGTCATTTTTCTTATAATCTTGCTAGTTTTTTGTTTTAGCTTTTGGGTAGTCATTTATAGTATTTTTTTCCTCTCTTAAAAACATGATTTCTATTTGTTATCCTTTTACTTTTTTGAGTTTTAGTTGTTATTGAAGAAAATTCAAACCATGTTTCTTAGACAGTATAGATGTTGTTGGCGGGTTAACTATTGCCAATCAGTTATGAAACACTTCCATCCGATCCGGCTAGTCCACCTCAAGTAAAGTTGCTAAAATGTTGTCCCTTTACTGGAAGGAGGAAAATCAAAGGAAATTCCGTTACTCCTAATCACTATATTTGTTTGTACTTCATCTTTTTCGTGGTTAGCAATTTTATTCAAGATTACAGGACAACAAACAATGGTCTGAAACACAACACACACACACGCACATGCATATCAAGTGTGCCACTGAAAGTTTTGTTTGTGTAAAATAATTGTTTATCTTTTATGCCATTGTCTATCAGTTTCCATTATTTGAACTTGCTAGAATATGAATGCAGTGCAGTTGGCTATCTTAAATCAGGATGTAGAGCAGGAAGATTCTTAGATTTAGTAATATGCACATTCGCCTCTTTGGAGAGAAAACTGATTAGATTTTCTATTACGATCTGAATTGCATCTATCCTTCTGTACCATGTATGTATTCTAATCCTTGTAAACAGTATTTTACTGATTCTCTACTGACATTCTGGAGTAGGCACTGGTACCTAATATTCATTCTTGTTAATAGCTGCAACAGTAATCTTGAGCAAGTAAATTAATTCTGTTGTCAAAGCATTAGATTTGTTTCCTCGATTCCATTGATTTGACTCATTTACCGTGCTTTTTCTTATGGAAAGGTGGATTGAAATGCTTGTTGCTTATGCCATTATGCCATTTTCTGCAGTTCTCGAACTTTTGCACCGTTCATCCTTTGATTCTTATGGTTTTGTGCAGTACTTAATTTACTTTAAACTTGTGCATAACAGAGGAGGACGTGGTGGTGGTTACAAGGAACTTGATGAAGAAGAGATAGAGGAAACGAGGCGACGTCGACGTGAGGCAGAAGTAAATATAACTCCATTATTATAACTTGAAGCTTAATTATGAATCTTTAATTTGATTGGTAATGATGCTTTAATTTCAGGATGATGGTGAGATGTACGACGAGTTTGGAAATCTCAAGAAAAAGTTCCGAGCAAAAACACAAGCTGAAACTGGACGACCTCTACCAGGCTCAGGCCGTGCTGGCTGGGAGTTTGAGGAACTAGGTATTCGGATCATTATGTTGACAACCGATTCATATCAGCATTATGTGTTCTAAGATACTGATTGGCATACATGCCAAGGTTATTTAATCAAAGAGAATGTTAAAGATGTGTGGCCTTTCAGTTTGGCTTGCGAGGCTCCGTATTAGTTTTTGTGATTATATCTTATCCTTTTGTTTTGTAGATTTTATAAATTAGCTTTAATCAGTGTAGATAAAGTATGAGATTGTAAATAAGAGCATAGAAGGAAATTTATATGCATGTTTTTGCTAGTTTATGTGAAGAAATGCTCTTGAAATTGATGTTTTTTTTACACCTTGAATAAATGACTATATGATTTCTATTTTTATGCTGATATAATATTGGTGTTTCACTTTTTAATAAAAGCGGTTACCTGGCAGGTGTGGCTGACAGGGATGGAAGAGAAAAAAGCGGAGATAGGGGACGGGAACGGGATGATAGAGAAAGTAACAAAAACAGAGATCGTGAAGACAGGGAAAGACACTGTGGTCGAAGCAGAGAGAGGGACAGGAGCCGTGATTATGATTACGACCGTGATAGAGATTATGGGTGGGATAGGGAACTAGATAGAGATCGAGACAGAAGTAGGTACTGTTACTGAGAAAAGGAAGATTCAGAATGTTGCACTGGTTGCTAATTGTTCTTTGGGCAATAAGATGGCACATAATTGAAACTTTCTCGAGCTGAGGTGTTTTGTTTAGTGTAACTGATAGCCGAGACTACTCTCTAGAGTTTCTTGTGTTTCTTTTCGGTACGAGGCCACGGCCTGAGAGTATGGAAAGGTGTCCCAATTTCCGGGATTCGATTTCCAGACCCCTCTTACGATGGTTTGCATAAACCAATTGGGTTAAACTCTAGGTTCAGTTTGATGTATTTCTAGATTTGCTTCTGTGGGTGTGCTAGCTGTTGTAGGTTTTTATTTGCCTTTACGCATTGTTCGTCTTCTATTAGCTTTAAAATAGAACTATGGAAATCTTGTATTTAAAAAAGATGGAGCATTTTGAAGTTTCCACCTTTGCATGCATAAAGATCCTGTTGGATATGGCTTGTTATAATTATTTTTCCAGATGCACAGGAGGTCGTAGTATGAGGATAATTGGAACCCAGATGTGGTATAAGCCAATTGTTTTAAGAGAAAATAATTTGAGTGACTGAAAATGTCCTATAATATATAATTTTAACCAACTTTTTGGGATTTGCAAAAATAACTAATGAATTTACAACTCAATTTTGAATTCACAACACAGAATTTGGAATTCGCACACAGAAGACGAATTCGCAACTTGAATTTGACAATTTCGCAACACAAATTTCTTTTTCGCAAATCGATTTTTAAATTCACAACACGAGTTTCGTTTTCGCAACTCGATTTTATAATTCGCAAAGTGAGTTTTAATTTCTCAACGCGAATTTCGCTTTCTCAACGCGAATTTTATTTTCGCAACTCGATTTTAGAATTCGCAACGCGAATTTAAAATTAGCAGATCAATTTTTAATTTCGCAATACAAATGTTTTGGGTATATTCCCCTAAATCGCAACTCATAACCTAAACTCCTAAATCGCAACTCTATCTCATCTCCATCTCTCACTCTCTCCGGTGACATCCGTCCCATCTCCATCTCTCACTCTCTCCGGCGACATCTGTTCCCATCCGTTCCCATCTCCGACGACCCCCTCCATCTCCATCTCTCACAACCTCCATCTCTCACAACCACCCTCTCACAACCATTCACGGCTACAAATGGAAAATCAACCACCGATGATTAGTTTTCTATTTTGAAATTTTTGTATTATTATTAGATAATTAATCATTTTCATAGATAGATTAACCATTTCACTTAGATTGCTTAGTATATTCATTCGGTTGTTGTCAATAATGCTAAACAATTGTTTAGTCTTTAACCCTGTGAAGTTATTATTTGGTAAATATGCTTACATTATGTCATCGCCCTTTGTTTTTTGGTTGAAGTAATGCATTTCATTCAAGCTTCAATTTGCAGAAGAAGAGTAGTTTATTTCAAGAAACTTAAATTCGCAACACGAAAATCGCAACTTGAAAATGAAATTCCAGTTGCGAATTCAAAATTTGAGTTGCGAATTTCATTTTTGAGTTGCAATTTTCGTGTTGCAAATTTCATTTTCGAGTTGCGATTTTCGTGTTGCGATTTTCGTGTTGCGAATTTAAGTTTCGAATTGCGAATTCGATTTTCGAGTTGCAAATTTGATTTTCTTGAAAATTTAAGCACTTCTTCTACACACATCACTTATGCTGAGAGACCTTAAACCTCCACTAAACCTATATATTGTCATTTTTGTTTATATATGCTCACTTCTAGAATGTTATCTGATGCATTTTGTGAACTATGATAGAATAATGACTTGGTTGAATACTGGGCTAATTTGAAAGATTAATATCATGTATGTTTATTGTGTATAATTTGTAGTTTTTGGTATATTATTAATATATCTAACTTAGTATTTTTATTGTTTTGTTAGGAATTTTTTTCGACTGCATTGACTTTAAGGAATAAATTAAGCCTAGCCACTACAATTGCAACGACACTTACACCTGTGCAAAGAAATTTGTTTGAGAAAACTTGTTTCGGGCCATGGCTGAAAGTACAACATCCAAGTGGAGATGCTTTATTGACTCATTTGTTTCTGCAGACCATGACTAACGATCTACCCGAGGGGATACCACGTGGCGATGAGGAGATATAGTTTCATTTTCCACCGGCGTATACTCGTTTTGGGCGGGAGGAGTTTTGCTTGGTCACTGGTCTACGTTTCGGACGACACGATGAATTAGGTCCGTACACTAGTCATATCGCCACCCCATCATGGTTATTTCAGGTTTTTTCCTGACCTGGCAAAGGTGATGTCCACTTTACACGTTGATGATTTGAGCATATTACTTCTTAAAGATGGTTTTAATCGGATGTATGACCTTGATGTTGTCCGAGTATGCCTTTTGTTACTTTTGTATGCTGACTTTTTAGCAAAACAGGGCAGACAACCTATTTGTAAGGATTTAATATTATTGGTAGATGACCTAGATGCATTGAATGTGTTTCCGTTGGGTTCATATATATGGAAAGCTACTTGGAAAAAATTATCATATGCCTTTGAGGACCGTCGTAGTTTGCATGGGCATGGTTACAAATACACTTTGGTAGGCTTTATTTGGGCCTTTAAGGTAAAAAATATATAATGTTTCCAAAATTAATTATTTAACAATTACTAAAAATTAATGTTTGTGTATTATATTGTAGATTTGGATATTTGAGGCATTTCCCAGCATGCGTACTTATGCCATCAAGAATTCAAATGATATTCCTAGGGCTATTACTTATAAGAGGATCCGGCAGTTGGATTGGGATGAGATACTACCATATATGACGATCGATGATGTAAGTAAACACAAATACTACCATATATAAACAATTTATTATTAGTAGACGTTTGACTTTATTTGGGCTTTTATATTGTTAGGAGGCATACTATCCATTACAGACATTGATACCCACAGAGGAAGAGGTTGTCACTGATTGGTGGCAAGCTAGTAGGCTTTTTTTGATGGGACGGATGATGAGCACCCCCACTTTTTCATCGACTTGATTCTCCACTTCGACACCAAGATCTATCACCTCATCGAGTCGATTCTTCACTTCGACACCGAGATCCATCACCTCTTCGAGCCGATTCTCCACTTCGACACCGAGATCTATCACCTCATCGAGTTGATTATCCACTTCGCCACCGAGATCCATCACCTATTCCATCGCATCATCGAGCCTCTTCTCCACCATCATCTCATGATAGGCAACCGACAAAGATTCCACGATATTTATCTCCCCATTCTCCACCTCCACGGGATGAGATAGATGCTTTACGTGATGAGGTCGGTGCTTTACGTGATGACAATGGTGCTTTACGTGATGAGGTAGGTGCTTTACGTGGTGAGGTAGCTGCATTACGTGATGATAATGGTGCTTTACGTGGTGAGGTAGTTACTTTACGTGATGAGGTAGGTGCTCTACGTGAGATTGTTTCATCGTTGTAGAATGAGGTGCGTATTCTATGCGATGAGGTAAGTTTGTTTAATTTTATAAGAAATACTATACTAAAAATGCAAATAACCTTTTTTTGACATTATTTATTTATTTACTGATTTATGTATTAATTTATTTTTAGAGGCCCGATGATAATATGTTACATGATGACCACTATAATTCCAAGCCAGACCAACTATCTGCCTTCAGATATATGGATACCGTTTTTCTTGCATGACGGGGTTTACGCATCAGACATCGTGGATCTACCATTACGTCTCCTTTCACCCCAATAGTTCCAAGAATACGTAAGAAGAAGCCTGATCCACCTACCATTGTTCAGGATCTACCTCACATTGTTTAGGATTCACCTCTCATCGTTCAGGATCCACCTCCCATCGTTTAGGATCCACCTCGCATCGTTTAAGATCCACATTCCATACTATATAGACATATTGGTAAACCCCCTCTTGTGCCCGGTATACTGGATCCGATATGGCTTTCTTATCAGTTACCGGCCAGTACCATTCCTCAGCATGAGATATGCATACTACCAGACACAGTTAAGGATAATATCGTTTGGGCTAAGACTGCAGTTGATTTTTATCTACATGAGCGGAGCAAGGGGTGCTTCACCGATATATGCAAAATCGACCATACACATTTGTTTCTTGAGCGGTATTAGTGGGGTGTTTTATTAGGGGTTGAAGATAATAGTTATTTTGAATGGGGGTAAGTATTATATTCTTTTTATATTGATTTTGATTATTTTTTTTAATTTATTAAATTCACTAATATATGTATTTTTTTATAAAACAACATATTGATGCATAGGTAACACGACTTCTGATTTTAAAGAAATTGAAGAAACTCAAAAAGACGCGATGGACTATTATGCCTTTATCTTTTCACTCAGCTCAGTTGCAGGATCAGAGAGATACTTCATATGCGTTAGGTAATGTCAAAGAGGTCGATAAGGTTAGTATTTATTTTTGTATATTTAAAGGTGTTCATCAAATTTATTTGATGTGCGCAGTTGAAGAATTATTTATTTAATATTGCAGATATTTATCCCTATTATGGAACGTTGTCATTGGCTTTTTGTCGAGCTTCAGCTCTCATCACTGAAGACGATAGTATATGACAACATGCTGAATTGCATACCATTGTCTGCTTTGAAAGATATTATTTGTAGGGGATGGATCGATCTTTTGTCTAAATACTTGGATGCGATTGATTATTGGACTAATTTAGGAAACGAGAAGCCGAATAAGTTAAAAGTTACAATGATGAGAGACGAGACAGTGCCATAACAAGCGTCAATAGCCAGAGGGGATTGTGGTCCGTTTGTATGCATGTGCTTGGAACGTATGACGAGAGGAGGCAAACAATTTCTACCTCCGACAGATAGAGATAGAGGTGCAGTAGGGTTGTGGTTTCGACATTTTATGGCTAGAGAGATATATGCGAGATGTTGCCTACCTGCATCCAGTGGTTGATATGCGACAGTATGACCATGTGAGAATTTCCTTTCGCTTGTCTATATGACTCTGAACTGTGATAAGAATGTACATGATTTTTTTTTATCTTTTGTTTGTTCAACTTCATTGTAGTCGACATATAATGTGTAAAATTGAAAAAGACAAGAGGGGACAACTTTTGATTTTGTAATAACTAATAAGAAGAGAACTTTGCTTCCCTGTGATGTGAAGGGAATTGCTGCATCCATGATTCTGATTCTATCAAGCCAGCTTCCATGTTGGATTTAGATTCTATCTTATTTTTATGATCCCATATATTTGTTTTCTCACTTGTGAGTTTTATGCATAGGTTTTATCATATGGACTCTAAATCAGTTGTGGATATGATAGAGGCCTCGTATGGGGTGAACGTTTTTGGGTTCCATATAGAAGGTTTGGAGCCGAGAAATATTGAGATGCTTACAACCTCACTGGGTGCTGAAATTGTGCATAAACAACCTTTTTTTA